AAAAAAAAAAAAAAAAAAAAAAAAAAAACAAAAAAGATAGAACTAGATACTCAGCGTGAATCACCATGTAACAACATCCCTTTGACTTCAACCCTCTTTGATATAGCAAACAATCGGTAAGAGAAAAGACGAAAAATAAAAAGAAAAAGAAAAAGATGAAGAAGCTCCTGCGCATCTTTCCTTCAATGAGAGATTTATATTTTTTTTTTTATTTCTATTCTCTTGATATTTTTTCTTTCTCTCTCTCTCTATATATATGTATGTATGTGTGTAGAGTAACGTATTATGTGTAATAGTATGAGAAATGGTTTCGTGCTGGTACCTCGTTAATTCCTTCTTTGGAAACGTTTTCGTCGTTTCTGCTACGTAAGAAGAAGTGGGCAAAAAAAAAAAAAAAGGGGCCGCCATTTTTTTGGGTTTCTATTCTTTTCTTTTTTTGTTATTTAAGATCTCTCTCTCTCTCTCTCTCTCTCTACCTGCTTTTTTGTTTCTTTCTTTCTTTCTTTCTTTCTTTCATTCATTCATTCATTCAAGGTAAAATAGCGTTACGTGGTAATGTTCTTTTTTTGCTTCTTATTTTGTAACTTTGAAAGAACTTTTTTACAACAGATGGAATTATATATTTTTTTAAGGTGAATGCGTGAGTGCGTTCTTTATTTATCTATTAATTAATTTATTATTATTATTATTATTTATTATATACTATTAATTAATTTTCAGAATCAAATATTTGTTAACTCTAAGGAGATTACTCTATGATATTATTTATTAAAATATCAATTACGAAAAATATCAATACTTTTATAATATAACACATATATATATATATATATATATATTATATATGTATTATTATATATACATAATATACGTTCAAAGTTTTTTCTTCTCGTGTTTCTATATTTTTCTTTTACAATTATTTTTTATCGTAAAGATTTCGAAGTCAAGGCTGAATAATACTCGAACAACTTTGACTTCATGCAACTTTTCCATTATTCACATCTTTTTAACGTTTACGCACTTTTTTCCCTTATTTCTTCTCTTGTTTTTTTTTTCTTTTCTCCCCCCTCTAGCTCTGTCTCTCTCTACGCGCAATTATCCCTCTTATGTATGCATGTATGTAGTATAATAGTTCGAGGAATAATCGATTATCGTCTTCGAAATAGGACGCACATAGATCGATTATTTCTCTCGAGTGTCGCGCGCTCGTAGAAAAAAAAAAAAGAAAGAAAGAGAGAGAGAGTCTACTCGACACCGTTAAAAAAATGAAGGACTTTTCTTCTCTTCTTCGATGTGCTTCGATCACGGTAAAAAAGAAAAGAAAAAGAAAAAGGTAGACAATAGATGCAATGTCTGCACCCCAACGCGTATCCAATTTGTATGCGTACGTATGGATTATAATGTACCCCTAATTTATAAATTTGTTTTTTTTTCGGGAGGGGTGAAGGGGGGAGGGAGAGGGGTGAAATTTTATCTCTCTTTTTGTTTTCGCACCTAATCGATCACAAGTAAAAGTAAGTTTTGATCGATAACATTAATTTAATTATATATATTAGGGTGGTCCTTAACAGGGGTGTTTTCAAATTTCTTGACTCCCAGGGGCTGAAAAGCTTCCAAATCTATAAAAAAAAATTCTCTGAAAATTTGAGCTCTTAATATCAACTCTAAGATAGTCCGCATTCCAACCTAAGTTTCTTATGGAAATAATATGAGAGAATTTATTTAGAATTATATTATTAAGGAATAAGAAATTTTTTAATTTATTTAAAAATCACATATATTAATCACAATTCTACGGATAACATTATATTTGCTTATTTTCGATCATAAATAAAAATTTTACAAGAAATATTTAATATATTTTTAATATATAATTATTTACTTAATAATCATACTTAATGATATTAATAGTTACATCAAAATTAAACTTTTAAGCTCAAATAACTTGTAAACTAATAGATTTAGCGAAAAATTATAAGAGACCTTTTTTGTAGAGCGTTAAATTTTCCATGAAAATATGTATGATTCATCATAATAGATCTATTTATTCCTGAATAATAAAATTCTAAATAACGAAGGAAATTTCTCTCATATTATTTCCATAAGAAACTTAAGTTGGAATGCGGACTATCTTAGAGTTGATATTAAAAGCTCAAATTTTCAGAGAATTTTTTTTTTATAGATTTGGAAGCTTTTGGGAGCCAAGAAATTTGAAAACACTCATGTTAAGGACCACCCTAATATATATATATATTTCTTGTTACGTCGTGTGTGTTTGTGTAAGTAGAAATGTTAGAGAGATAAATGATATTAAATAAATATAAGATAAAATTTCTCTAACGAATTTCAAACACACAGCAAACGATTATTGACATAATCATTATCTATATACGTAAAATATATTCACAAAATTATACACATATATCGTGCATAGTTGAAATTTCCATCCTGGTTTTCTCTCTTTCTCTCTCTCTCGTATTTATACGAACATTTGAGAAGTACCGTATGCGTTTAAACGAGTTACCAACGTCGAACCCTATATGTTCACCCAAAGTTACGAACCGTGAATTTAACTCCGTGCAAACTCGAATTTTCTTCCCTTTTGGCCCAAACGATCCAGACGATTTTCTCTGTTTTATGATTATATACATACACACACACACACACGTATCACTATATATTTATATTATACTTATATATAAAAAAAAGAAAAAGAATAATTTTCTTTAGAAAGTTTTCTGTAAATAATTTGCAAATAATCGCAACGTATGTTTCATCGATCTGATAATAAAATAATGTATGTTATTTTTCGTACATAATTGTAAGAAATTCAACAACTATGCATTAACATGGGTAATATTTCAGGTATGTACGTTTATATGTATATATGTGTATACGTATGCATGTTAAATTTTAAATTCTTTCGAGGAATATATTGCAACAGTATAAATTTATGCGTACCCGATATTTAAATACTCTAATACATCTCAATAATATAATACATTTCAATATCATATTAATCGATGCATGCACAAGATATTGCAAAAGTTTTTCAATGATTTTTTTAGGGTTTGTTCATAATTGTATA